GAATTTGCACGTTCACTCGGCTCATCGCCTGCGAAAATCGCTTGGGTATGAACACAAAAGACGCGTCGAAAAACGACTGTGATAAGCGCGCGCGATAATCGTCCCGGTGTGTACGAGGCTTAAGAGGTGTCTGGCTGTTGTCCTAGCATTCATATAGTAAAATTAATAGGCCATATCTTTGCAGTAAAAAAACATGGAGGCATGGGGTGGGCTTTTTTTGGCTTAGGCTGTCAGCAGCCTTGAATCACCATGGTAACTACCTAGCCAAGTCCTAGTAACCATTTTTAACTGTTTCTAGCAACTGATTAGCAACATGAACAACCCATTTTCTAGCACCAGAACATTGTTGAGACATAGGGGTGGGCTCTTGTAATTAGGGTGGGTATTCAATCTGTAAGTATTACCATGGAAACTGTGTGGCCACACCATAGCAACCATTTAGAGGACCCCCTAGCAACCGAAAGGTAACATGAACAAGCTAAATCTCAGCAAAACAACATTTGACTGATTTAGGGGTTGGCCTTCTATGGGGGTAGAATTGTTGCATTATTCCAAATAAATAGATGAAATAAATGTAAAGAGATTTACAAAAAATTAAACATACTGACAAATAAATAGAATGAGATCCACAAATAAATCTCAGAGTTTCACAAACATTAATTAAATTCACAAATAAATAAAATGAGATTTGCAAATAAAGAACATATTCACAAATACATTTTTATGTCCCAAACACAACTTTGCCTGCCATTCATTTGTGAATTGCGTCCTGTACATTTGTAGATTGTTGCACGCATTTGTGGATCTCAAGCCGATCAGATAACAGCCACACTTCGCTGACCAGTCATAGCACGTTCTCGCTATAACCAATCACGTTTTGCTTTACAATCAGGGTGGTCATATAAACCCCCACCCCCAATTGTAACACGATTATTTAAACATCTCAACCGACTTGAATCGTCACACATTTTTATCAAATTTCAACCACATTGTTACATCTTTACTTCCATTCATTCTTTAACATTAATTTAACCCTCTGGGGTCTGAGGTTGTTTTTGGGTCCTGGAGAAGTTTTGACACGCCCTGACATTTCTGTTATTTTTCAGTTTCAGGCATAAACGTATTAATGATTAAAGTCTGATTACACTGTATTTAGCACAAACTGTGCTACAATAATATGTGAGCAGCATGTATGTTTGAGTTTGTATTTTTGAGAAAACAATGTTTATGTCTGTTTAGTGAAAAAAGGCCTTAAAATAAGGCCCTAAAACACATACAAAATATTTGTTTATAAGGCTTTTGAGAACTGGATGTGGTAGACTAGAGTTTATTGCTAAAATCACTCATTCCCAGAATGCCCACTCATTCACAGAAAACAATATATTGATTTAACTTTTGTAAGACACATTTTGTGTTAGTAAGGCTATATGTGAGGGAGTGACAATGGCAATGAATATTGATGTGATTCGCACCTTAGAAACAAAACCCCTCCCCTAATTGGCCCATCAGTGTGGAATGTGACTGTGAGGCAGGTAAGAAAGAATGTGAGGAAATTAAGAGAATGGGATTTTTGATTGTTTGTATTTTATTTACAACACAATATAATATACATAATGGAGATCAAAGTCACATTATTGAGTACACTGATCTAAACACAGAAACTTGAACAGTCACACCATTGTGCAATTTCTGGAAACAGTTCCTGTTAAACTGGTAAAACAAGTAAACCATACCTGGTATTTCCAATGTGTTTGCTGCTTCTTTCCATGCACTGAAAAATAAAGCCCCATCTTCAGTAGTCATGGAACTTATTTGACCATATTCATGTTTGTACAGCAGCAGGACTCATCTGTGGTGCAGGTATCTGGTCACTAAAAAAAAAAAAAAAACATATGTGAGCATGTTGATATCAGGAGCATTATATATACATATATATATTTATATTAAAACATAATTTTGTAGTCATAGACACACGTTTTTGTATGTACTATCATTATAGCTTGGGAAAAACCCAACTAGTAGAATGTGTTCAAGTTTATATCACAATAACACGTTAACTAATGCAAATAAGAAAAATGACTGAAGAAAAGTGTCTTCTATCAAAAATGAAATGTAACCTAGATGAATCTTGCTGCTTTGTTTATTGAGGTGATGGGGCGTTTACATGTTCGCGTGGCTCACTTGGATGATTACTGTATGAATATCCTGCGTCGCACGTGGATGTAACTAAATTACAGTTAATGAGCTCAGACAGAAAAGACTACCTCTTGTTGGTTTCATATGGATTACTTTATAAGAGAATATTTGTTTTCAATATGACTTTCTTCATTTAAAAGTAGAGACTTCGCGCTTTCTATAGACTCATTTCTCATGTATGTGTGTTAAGTGTAACTAAATTACAGTTAATGAGCTCAGACGGAAAAGACTGTACCTCTTGTTGGTTTCATATGGATTACTTTATAAGAGAATATTTGTTGTCAATATGACTTTCTTCATTTAAAAGTAGAGACTTCGCGCTTTCTATAGACTCATTTCTCATGTATGTGTGTTAAGTATTCGCTGAGATTTGGTTCATTTTTGTGATGCGTTTCAGAGACAAGTTCACGGAGACCGAGATGGCAAAAAGTGCACCGTTTGTTTTCTTTATTTTACAAAACCACGTTTTGTTGTTATTGGAGGTGTACAAAAATAAAAGCAGACCCTCTGCAGTTTCGAATGATATATTACTCTTATCTGAAAGACGAGAGAGGACCAGGCCTGGACTATTTATGTTTTTGTTTGTATTTTGTTTATGTTTGTGTGTGGCAGTTGTCCATGAGGGGCTGCCGCTTTTACTTCAGTTTTGTGTTTATTTGATTTTTAAAGTTTTATGTTTAAATGTTTGCCGGTTCCCGCCTCCTCCTTCCCGTAGCTACGAACTGAGTTACATTGGTGCCGAAACCCGGGAGGAAGGAGGGACACGCTGTCAGACAGCCCTCGCTGCAGAGGGGGATCGCAGTGCTGAGAAGGTCGGGCAGCATGAAGGAGCGGAGACCACCAGTGGCTGCCCGAGGTGGTGGTGCTGGAGTGATGGAAGATGAGATGGGACGGAGAGCTCGCTGCCATGCTCCGGGGTCGAGGAGGGGTGGCTGCCATCCGAGAGGGAGCGGAGGAGATGGCGCCATTTGCCGGGAGGCCGGAGCCTGCTGCCTTCCACCATGTTTGGGGAGGAGCATGCCGGCTGCCCTCAATTGGAGGAGCCATCGCCGCCCAGCAAGGAGGTGGAGGAGCATCGAGCCGTCCATGAAAGGATGTCCAGTGCCATCGCATTGCACTGCGAGTGAGAGCCACTCAGCTGGTTGAGGACCGAGCAGCAGTGTATCTGGGAAGAATTTTTTTTCCCTTTTCCTCTCTCCCCTCTCTCGTCTCCGTCTCTCTTCATCCTTCTGTCTCCTTTTCTCTCACCTCGTCTGTCCTCATCCCTAGCTTCTGTGGCAGCAGTGATTGCCCCCCCCGGAGGGGGTGAGTAGAGTGCAGTCTCGTGGTTACCCACCCCGACCTGCGAAGGGCGATGGGGGTATGTGACAAGTGGGGCAGGGGTGGTGGAGTAAATGATAATGAGCGACATCTGTGCCACACCAGTCTCGAGTCCCACAGAGGAGCTCTGGAAATATAAATGGAGGAGTGACAACAGTGGGTGCTTCTCAATTCTTATTTGTGCATCCTCGTTTCCTTTCCTCACGTCTTAGCTCCACCCCTTCAGGATGCGAGGGAAGGACGCAAGGAAAAGACGTGAGGACTGAGGAATTTAATCAAGTGAAATGATATATCCTCGCTCCCTTTTAGCATCACTTCAAAGCGTCATCAGCTGCGCTAAAGGGATCTGCCCTTATGTTGTTAAAGTTTGTTATTTAAGACATTCATAATAAATATTAATAAAGCAAGATGCCCTGTTTGAAATATATGACATGTATGGTTTATTTAAACCGCAAAGGTAAAATATTAGAATTATTACAACAGATGTGAAGGGGGAGGACAATTTATACGTGCGTCAGGTTTTTCGATGAAAAACACTTCCGCAAAGAATACACTTGTGTATCCTCGCTCATAGCTCCTCTGGAATCCCCCTCACTCATCGATCCTTGCCTCCTCGCAGTGCAATTAGAGAATTGAGATGTCCTTCAAGATGGCTGAGCTCGATCGGTTTCTGAGTCATAGGATGAGGAAGGAGGAAACGAGGAGGGATATTGAGAAGCACCCAGTAAATGATGAGAGAGGACCAGGCCTGGACTATTTATGTTGTATTTTGTTTATGTTTGTGTGCGGCAGTCGTCCATGAGGGACCATTACTTTCATTTTGTGTTTGTTTATTTGATTATGAAAGTTTTATGTTTAAATGTTCGCCGGTTCCCTCCTTCCCGTAGCTATGAACTGCGTTACATTATTCAACTTTTACAAATATTTTTTAAAAATATTTTTTACTCTTTTTCATTAGATGAATCAATGGGCAAATATTTCTAAATGAAGGAATAATTTACAAATCCATGGGAAGGTAAAGTTGATAAATTCAGTGTGTACAGTTTTTAAACCGAATAAAGATACCTAGTACAAAAATCCTACTACTTGGCCTTAGGTAAAGTCCATTTATTTTGAATGGTTTCAAATGGTTTCTCATTTTGACCTGTGAGATATCCTAAAATATCCAGGCAACTTTATCTTATGTATTAACTTAATATTCTTTAAAAAAAAATAATGTACAGTATATAGCAGTAATCAGGTGCCTTTTTAGAGATGTGAGATACTACATTTCAGAGGTCAAGCACACAAATACTTAGGAAAAAAAGCATCAACAATACTGTCAAAAGAGAATTGGGTTCATATTTTACACAGAGAAATGTCATATCAGAATAGTTTGAAATTAAAATTTTGATCACTGACATCAGCCACTGTGTTAAATGTGCTCTGACTCTAATCAGGACTGGGAAGATGACGTCAGACGTTTTAAACGGATCTTCCGTCATCCTAGTCACACAGAGCTTGTGGTTCTTATCGGAAATCACGACATCGGCTTCCATAACGAGTGAGTTTGAGGGTTGCAATTAACCTGCAGGTCAAATGTGTGGTTCATGTGTGGTTTTTATGCACACACTTTGTCCATGAGTGCATCTGATTCAATGTTTATGATGTTTTCACTGTATCATATTACAGATAAAATTACATTATATTTCAAATATCTGCAGTATTGAATAATATTTAAAAATAATCACTTTTTTGGCTCAATTGTGAATTCTTACTTGGAAGTGATGTTAGCTTTAAAAAAAAACTTTTTTATTCAAGGGATTTTTAACGTGTGTGGCTGTGTGTGTGTGTACAGGTGCCTGATTTGACTAAGGTGTGCTTCCTGTATTGTCTTTCTCTTCCCTTTGGCAGAATGACTAAGCAGAAGTTGGAGCGGTTTGAGCGAGTGTTTAACGTGACGTCAGCACGGATCCTAACCATTAAAGGAGTCAAGTAAGAATTATTATTAATAATAATAAGAAGAAGAATAAACTATTTGTATAGCACATTTCATACACAAAATGCAGCTCAAAGTGCTTCACAAGATAATACAGGCTTAAAAAGAAACATTGGCAATTCAATTTCAATGTCAATATAAATAATACCCCCAAAAAACTTAAAGAAGCTCACAAAATAAAATATAAGAACAAACACTGACAATATGATTCAGCCCCACAATATTAATATTAATTTATACTCAAAAGTAATTTTTTTAAAAATGTCTCGAAAATATGTTGTAAAAATATGAATGCTAGAAGCCTCTTTCACTTCAATTGGTAAGTAATTCCAAACTTTTGGAGCATAGTTACTAAAAGAAGCACCACCGGATTGTTTAAGATTTACTGTATAGTGTACCAAAAGCAGGGGTGTCAAACTCAATTCCTGGAGGGCCGGAGCCCTGCAGAGTTTAAATTCAACTCTAATTAAACACACCTGATCCAACTAATCAAGTCGTTCAGGCTTATTTGAAAACTACATGGTATGTGTGTTGGAGCAGGGTTGGAACAAAACTCTGCAGGGCCCTGGCCCTCCAGGAATTGAGTTTGACACCCCTGCACTAGAGGATCTTAAACTATGATTTGGAGCATTTCTTGACAAACAGTGAGTGCCATATGAAGGTCCCAGAGTATGCAGTGCTTTATAAACTAATAAAATAACCTTCAAATCAATCCTTTGGTGAACTGGCAACCATAATGCATTTTGCATTAATTGTAGCTTAACTATACAACTCTTAGACAAGCCAGTAAAAATAGCATTATAATAATCAAGACGAGAAAAGGTGAATGCATGAATTAGTTTCTTAGCATCAGATAATGCTTAGTTTCATAGCATCTTAGATAAAAAGAACAAATCAGCACAGTATTTCTCAGATGATAAAACAAGTTTTTGTACCTTGATTAACATGTGACGTGTGGCCAAGTATGGTGACCCATACTTGGAATTTGTGCTCTGCATTTAACCCATCCAAGTGCACACACACAGTAGTGAACACGCACACCGTATACACACACCCAGAGCAGTCGGCAGCCATATTGCTGCGGCGCCCGGGGAGCAGTTGGGGGTTCGGTGCCTTGCTCAAGTGTCTCACCTCAGTTGTGGTATTGAGGGTGGAAGATAGCACTGGTTATTCACTCTCCCCACCTACAATTCCTGACGGACCTGAGATTCAAACCCGCAACCTGCGGGCTACAAGTCCGACTTCTCTAACCGTGTGTTCACACCGCCGCCGTCGAGAGCGTCAAAGTGGCCGGAAGTCATTCATTTTCAATGTGAGCCGGCGTCGAGCAGCGGCGCGGTGCGACTTGGACGTTGAGGGCGTCGAGGAGAGTTGAAATCAGGTCAACTTTATGGTAATGAGCTATGACGCGGTTCGGCGGCATCTGGCGACAACCAATCGGAACGTAGAAGTCCACCGCTTGAGAGGATTCCAGAGAACGCAGTCCTGTAAACTTTGGTTCCGACCACATTAGTTCCCAAGCAAAATGGAGGAGAGGTTGATTATTGCTGTGGCGGGTTTCCCAATAATCTATGACGTGTCCGACGCTCTCGACGGCGGCGGTGTGAACGCACAGTAACCATTAGGCCACGACTGCTCTATGTTAGACTTACACTCACAGGCCACTTTACTCTGTTCAATTGCTCCTTAACGCAAATCAGCCAATCACACGACAGCCCAATCCGTGTATCATTCGATCATTCGTTTTTTTATTTAATATTGAAAGTAGAAAAATGAGAAAACGGC